GTGCCGCCGGGGGGGGGGGGGGGGGGGGTGAAGTAATTCCAGGGGGGTGCAGGGCGTCCCAGTGCCCCTCCCCCCCGGTCAATCCCACCCCCAGTTTTACTGCAATTCTTTTGGGAGGGGGGGTGCAAGGGTTTCTCAAAAATCAAAAAGGGGGCGAGATGCCGAAAAGTTTGGGAACCACTTGTTCTAGCCCAAGGATCCTGTCTGCCGACAGTGGCCGATGCCAGATGCCCCAGGGGGAATGAACAGAACAGGAAATGATCAAGCGATCTCTCTCCTGCCATCCGTCTCCACCCTGTGACACAGAGGCCAGGGAAGCCATTCCTTACCGATCCTGGCTAATAGCCATTAATGGCTTTAATCTTCTTGAATGTGTCTAGTTCTCTTTTAAACCCTCTTATAGTCCTACCCTTCACAACCTCCTCCGGCAAGGAGTTCCACAGGTTTGACTGTGCGCTGCGTGAAGAACTTCCTTTTCTTTGTTTTAAACATGCTGCCCATTATTTTCACTTGGTGGCCCCTAGCTCTTATATGATGAGGCAATGGTCCATTTCACTCCTGCTTCTGAAGGACTCCTGTCCCCATCTCCTTCTCCCAGACCAGTGTTTCTCAACCAGTGGTACTCAAGAAGTTGGGGGGGGAGGGGTGGGGGATGTCAACACAGCTGAAATTTGGAGAACTGAATTTTTGTCTTAAGTTTTGCAGCGTCTTATTATTTTTGTACTTCTTACACCCGCAAATTTCATCACCCGCCCAGCTACAATTACGTTATTTAAACAAATGTGTTGCAATGGTAGAAAAAATGTTGTGTCTGAAAGCTGGAGGTACTTAAATCTTTTTTTAAAAAAGGGGGGGGTACTTTATAAAAAGGTTGAGACGCTGTCCCAGACTGCATAGAGCAAGCAGGGGAACCAGGAATTGGGCAGGGGAGGGAGGGGAACTGGCCTAGCATCCGTGACAGCTCTGACTACGGACCTGCCGGGATTTAGCAGCACAGCTCATCCCAGCTGGGCCCTGTTCCCATTTTTGGGAAGAAGTGGGGCCTAGTGGCTAGAGGGTGGGCTGGAGAGAGGGCCTCCTGGTTCTGGACAGCAGCGTGCTCTAGTGGTGAGAGTGGTTGGGGCGCCCGGACTCCTGGGTTCTCAGAAAACAGCCTCCTCCCTGGAAAAGGAGCAGCGGGATCCAGGGTGGGGCGGAAGACGCTCGGGACCTGTGCGTCTCCCTTTTAATTACTGGGCAGGGCGCTTTGATTGCCACCCCCCACCCGCACGGCCTGCCTCGTCAGGGAGCCCCGGGCCTGGCTGATTCATTCCCCTCTGGGGTTTGGCACCGGCCGAAGAGCCGTGTTCGTTGAGCTCCCTGAGCTGTGAGCTTCTGCGGGAGCGTCTGAGCAAGGGATGGAGCCCAGAGGAGCTGGTGAGAGGCTGGGCTCCCCCCTCCCCCGGGCTCAGTCCTAAGCCCCACCCGCACGGCCTGCCTCGTCAGGGAGCCCCGGGCCTGGCTGATTCATTCCCCTCTGGGGTTTGGCACCGGCCGAAGAGCCGTGTTCGTTGAGCTCCCTGAGCTGTGAGCTTCTGCGGGAGCGTCTGAGCAAGGGATGGAGCCCAGAGGAGCTGGTGAGAGGCTGGGCTCCCCCCTCCCCCGGGCTCAGTCCTAAGAAGGGTTTCGGGCCAAAGTTGAAGACCCTGTTCATAGCACGCCCAACTGTGGAGATGGCTTGAAGGGGCTGGAGCTCCAGTCGGGGGGG